TGGAGCTTGAGTTCTCTCCTCCAATGGAGAAGGTTTGGTGGAATGAACAGACTATGGAGAATGCTTGTGGTTTCTTTCAGACACCTTTTTTACATTTCAAGAAAAGTTTTCTTGGTTAGCACCAAAACTACAAAAAAGACTAGCGTCCACAGCGTCCCCCTCCCTAGGGTGTAGGGTTCAGGGTTTAGTAGGGTTTAGGGTTTAGGGTTCAGGGTTCAGGGTTCAGGGTTTAGAGTTGAGGGTTTAGGGGTCAGGGTTTAGAGAGTTGAGGTTAGGGTTTAAGTGCCTGGCAAGGAAGGAGAGGAGGGATCTCTATAGTCAGTGGTCCCTACATAATCCCTGATCAGCGTCCTAATACCCAATTCCCCGTTTAGCTGCTGCGAGCTTCATGGTGGCCCAGTCCTTGCAGGTAGCATGGTGGGCGTGACCAGAGATGCTCGAGAAAGCTGGGAGTAAGTTTTTTACGCGCCACTGCGATAGTGCCATAGGGCGCATTAGTTGCAGGCCTGCATCTAATGCACCTTCAAGTTCGGATCGCTCCTCTAGGAAGCTGACAGACCCAACTACAGTGCTATTCGCTCGCTGGTATCTCAAGTACTTCTTGTCAAGCCAGTCATCTCCTGTCAGCATGCATCAGTTTGACGTTCCCAAACGGGACAACTTTGATCGCAGAACTTTGAAGAATGTTCTTGCGCTTAACAGCACGGCTGCCATGTTGAGTATACAATTTCCATTGAGGAGTTGAGCAGGGAGGTTGTCAGGTGTGGAGGTGTTTGTTAACTTGCCTGCATACACATCATTTTCAGGCTGCAAGTGAACATGGCGCCAGTCCAGGTAGTTTGGAGTCGTGAGTCGACTGCACGCAGCAAAATCAAAGAGCAGACAGTTTGGAAGCACAATGCAGTTGGAACGTGCCCTCATCTAAGCTATAGGCAGAACTTCCAGTGTCCCCCTTAGAACCCCTCATAATACTCCCCCATAGAATCCCCCATATAACTCCCTTTAAGGAGTTGAGACCCTAAACCCTATCTAATCCCTATATACTTCCCATATATTTCCTGTAAACCCCCTATATAACCCCCTTTTAGGAGTTTAGGCTAAAGCTCATATAACCCTATATCATCCCTATGCAACCCCCAAAAAAAACCCTCTATATACCCTATTTTTGGGTCTTTCTTGATCACAGCCAGCGCCAGCTTTTGGGCTCTTTGGCCTGCAGCTCAGACTAGATGGGTAAGCTTGCAAAAGCCGTTCCATTATAGGGGTAAGGGAAATCAACATGGAAACCCCTGGGTATAGGATTTAGGGTTTAGAGTTTAGGGTTTAGGGTTTAGGATGATGGAAAAGAACATGCAAACTACTATAGTATATTGGGGTTATATACTGGGATAATGTAAAAGAAAATGCAGAATCAGCAGCGGCGCGATTCATACACAATGCTGCCAGGCGGAAGTGACGTACGAAACCCAAGCATATGTATCGAACATTGCAAGTGCTTTTGATGTGCCTTTAGCACCCGCTCTTAAAGTAGGCAAAGTAGTGAGGGGTTGCAGCTGCTCAGCCTGCACGTGCTTGGGTCTGCGCGCTTTAGTCGGCGATGTCGTACATAGTCTAAAATTGACATTGGATGCGCAAGAAAGTGCCGGGACCTTGTCCTTATTGGTGGTTAGTTAGGAATATCCCTGTATACTTCCTATATAGCTATACACTATATTCCCTTATTCCCTACCAGCCCCCAGTAAGAAAGTCACGACGAATCAGAAAGCGTAATTCAAAGGTCATGTGACCCCTAGTACTGTAGAATTGGGGATAGTATATTAGATATATATATATATATAAAAGGAATAGTGAGGGGTGATAGGGATAATAGGGGGATATCACGACCCCCCCCACCCCCCCCGAATACTGGAGAATCAGATGGAACAAACTGAAGATGAAATGGAAACTGTGGTTGAGGGCGACATTCCAGTTTCCATGTCATTGTCTGTTTTCTTTTCCATGTGGTTCCTCATGGCTAGGAGTCAGTCCACAAACCCTGAAATCGAAATGTCGGCGTCCGCTTCAAATTCCATTTTCTTGTCCATGTGATCCTCCATGATTAGATGACGTTCACGCGGAGCCTTTGGATCCGGCTCATGCAAAGGTGAAAGCCTTTGGTGCCTCGTAGGCCATCAACATGCCTGACAGGCTGTCATACGGCAAGGCACAGCGAAGCAACGCAGTTCATGAAACATTCCCGTGGCTTTCACATCCAGATGTTCCTTGCGCGATGACGGCGGTTCTGCAGCTGGTGCATAGACGCTTGCAGCCTAGACTCTGCAAGAAAGTCGGTAGCGCAGATTGGAAACCCTAAGCCCCAAACCAGATATAACACAGATATAACCCATTATAATGGTTCCATTGTATTCTCCATTATCCCCATATAACCCCAGTATAACCCTAAAGTGTTTTGATACAGATGAGGCTTAGCAGACACAAGGCGACTTGCAGTTGTGTTCTTAGCTCAAGCCTCAGGTGCCTGCTGCAACTGCTATGAGGGATATACCGGGGTCAGACGTGGGGATACACGGAGATGAAAGATTTACAGTTTTGGGATATTTCTCCAATGATGGAGAATCAAATTCAAAATGAAATGAAAGCGAATATATTTGTGGGGAGGGACTACCATTGGGATCAATAGGTCGTGTTACCCTACTAATAGTCGACCAAATGCAAAAAACATGGAAAATGAGATGGAAAGTGCGGCCAGTGGCTATGGACAACCAGCCACGTCCTGCTGAGGCAGTCGTTTGCTTGGCTTTCTTGCAGCGTCATCGATGGGTGCAAGCTAGCCGGCAGCTCAAGGTCTCAGGGTTTCACAATGTGTGCTGCTTCAGCATGCTTCAGCACTGGGTAGATATCCCTATATAACCCTATGTTTCCCTATATGGCCCTATGTATCCCTAAATCCCTGTATATTCCTGACCTTGAACCTGAGGGTTGGCACGAGGGCACCGAGGGCGTCGAGGACGCGGCTATGGGTGCCGCGACATGCTGCGTATGAGTGTTAGTATTAAGAATATGGTTTTTATCACTATTAGTAATACCAAAGGTAATAGTGGATCATAGTTATGGTTACTATTATGAGTATTACTACTACTATTAATATTACTATTTCCACTAATATTACTATTTCCATTAATATTGTTATTTCCATTAATATTACAAGTGTGACACGGTGTGGAGTCTGTCCTGATACCAGGACTGCCGAGGCAGTCACTGGAGTCGACTTCATCTTCGCCATTTACTGGGTTCACCCTTCAACGCCTGGCTAGGGTTTAGGGTTTAGGGTTTAGGGTTTAAGGGTTTAGGGTTTAAGGGTTTAAGGTTTAAGGGTTTAGGGTCGAGCAGAAGCATTGCGAGACGTGACGAAGATCAGGATTTAGCAGCCAAAGCCACGCCAGGCCAGCTGCAGCAGAAGAGCTGGGAGATTGGGACTTTGGTGGGCGCAGGCGCCCTTTTTTCTGAAGAAAAAAGGCTAAAAGAGGGGACCCCAATTATGGGGACCAATATAACCCTAATATAAACCAAAAATCTATATGATCACTAAGATCCCTGTAGTTTCCCATTTTTCCATCATCCCAATATAAGATAGCCCCTACATAATATCCCCTATATACCCAGAGTCACGTCTTGCCGCAAGATAGTGTGAATCCTCAGGAGGTGGCTGTGGCTCCACAATGGCAAGGTTGAGAACGGATGGTTTGAGCCGGCTGCACGGTTTGGGGTTTTGGGTTTACGGGTTCAGGGATTAGGGTTCAGAGTTTCAGGGTTTTGGGTTTGGGATGTAGGGGCTTCCGTGAATCTGTTTGCCTGGATGGGGGAAGCAAGGTGTGCGCCAAAAAGATCATCCACATACACTCCAAATAGTGGGAGCTGATGAAAATTAGCATGGATCCCTTTAGTCCCTCTTCGGGTCCCTATAATATTGCGTTTCCCAAAATGACCACTCAATTTGGGAAATCCCTTCCCAACAGCTGTACACTCAGATAATTTCAGTTGCCATGCCATTGTCCAGTTTTTCCATGTAAGTCTCCATTATTGGGAGAATATCCCAATATAACCCACCATATAACCCTAAACCCTTTATCCTCAGGCCCCCAAGTAGCACAAGGTCCCGCACCCACGTCAACTTGAAGCAATTACCCCGCCTGGCATCAAGGTTTGGGGCTGGGGGGAGCCTCCGAATCGAAGTTGGCAGGGCTCGCGAAGGCCCTTTGATGGTTCTTGTAGGGGATTCTATAGGGTTATATAGGGGATGATATGAGGTATAGTGAAAATTCCTTAAAGGGGTTTATATATGTAAGGGCTTATATAGGGAAGTGCTAAAGAGGCTATTAAGGGTGATACTAGGAGTTTAGACTATAGCTCGGATGGGGCCTGTATAGGGGTTATGGGGATGCATAGGGTTTAAGGGTTTTGATCGCGAAGGCTCTTGGGAGGTATGGGGATTACAGGGGGATTCTGTCAGTGTAGGGGGGTTCAGGCGTCTAGGGCTTAGGGAATGCAAAAGAGAAAAGAAAATGAACAGTGAAATAGAAAATTAGGTTTATTGGAAGATGTAGCGTTCAGGGTTCTGACTTGGGAGGTACGCAGATTATATGGAAATTACATACAGGCATAGGGATTTGCACGGGATATTGTTATTTGTTGTAATTACACGGGTAATTACATGGGGAGTACGTAAAGGTATGATGGAAGATCAAATGGAAAAAAATTGCAAAGGAAGCCCTAAACCCTAAACCTCGGCAAGTGGGATTATACCGTGGCTCTACTCTGGGACTCTCACAATATGATCTTTCTGCGGTCCTTAAGGGGGAGCACTCTACCTTCCTAACACGTTGCGAATAAATACATTCATGAGGTCCGCGGGGGTACTCTAGTTTTCGGACCCAAAAACAGTGTCCTCTAAACGAACAGCAAGATGACGCAGTGCCAGAGAAAGGACGCACTGGGATGCAAATTCTACAATCACTTCTATCTTATTATCGGAAGGCGCAAATCAGAGGAATCCAAATCTTAGCTTCAGGTGTCGAAGATTTGCTTCTCTAGGGTTTAGAGGTTAGGGTTTTCCCAAAAGCTGCCCCGACACCTTTTCAGAGGCCAGCAAACAGCCCCAACCCAAAATGGCTAAAAGGTAGCTTCCCTGTTTGGTTAGGATCCCCTTTTAACGAAGCGTATTCCCCCAGGTGCCTTCTTTACAGGGACCTTTAATTATGGTACCCATTAAGGTAACATTGGGGTTATATTGGGGTTATATGGGGGACAATGGAAAAGAAAATGGAAACCACTATAATGGGTTCTATGGGTGGTTGTCAAAAATTATGGGCCCCTTTTGGATCCCTATTATAATATGGCACCGAATATTTAGGGTACCCAAAAAAGGAACATAGATTTGACAACCACCCACATGTTTCTCAGGAAGCTGGAAACACGGAGAAGCAGGTGAGCCAAGTCCTAAGAGCTGGATGGCTATTTCCCCAAAATTAAGGTTTAGGGTATAGGGATATAAGGACTATAGTGGTTATATAGGGATAATGTAAAAGCAAATGGAAACTAGTATTAAGGGTTTAGGGTTTGGCGGTAGTTCCCAAAATTAGGGTCCCATATTGGTACCCCTAATTATTAGATGCCGTAATATAAACTAGAACCAAAAGGGCCCATAATTTTGAAACAGCCCAGATGGGTACATGATGAGATGCTAGTGTTATCTAGCCTGGTAACTGTATGGGGATTTCCCAAATTTAGGGCCAGCATGTTGGGGGTCCCAAAAATGAGGACTATAGTATGTCGAGGTCTATGTTGGGGTCCCCTGATTTTGTGGTTATAAGTTGGCTTGTCTTACTTAGATATAATAGTACCAGTAATACTAACAGTAGCATATACTAATACACCCTAAACAGTTTTTCTTTTCCCTTATCCCCTAAAGCCTGAACCCTAAAACCCAATAACCTGGCACTGGAGAAAAGGCGTGACCAAAAAAAATAAATGAATAATAACCCCTATCTGACCCTAAGCTCTAAACCCTAAACTATGCAAACTTGGTATCCCGTTGGAGTGATCTTTCAACTAATTACAAGGACGTTTTTGGGGTGTACGGCCGATGATCATCTCAGCCTTCGCCAGAAAGAGCAGGCCCCTACACACCTTCAACATGCTATATAGGGGTTATATTGGAGTTATATTGGGGTTATATTGGGGTTATATAGGGGTTATATTGGGGTTGTATCGGGGTTATATTGGAGTTATATTGGGGTTATATTGGGGTTATATTGGGGTTATATAATGTTATATAGGGGTTATATTGGGGTTGCATTGGGGTTATATTGGAGTTATATAGGGGTTATATGGGGGTTGTATTGGGGTTATATTGGGGTTATATTGGGGTTATATTGGAGTTGTACTGGGGTTGTACAGGATCCAAAAAGCCTCGCAAAGGCACCGCGATTTGGAAGCAAACGGCAACAACTCAGGGTACCAGCTTTCCGAACTTCGGTGCAGCAGACCCGCTTCCAGCTTTGGAAGGCCGCCATTTAAAGACTTGCAAAACCGAGTCGTATTTCTCTGATGGTTCCTCAGATGACACCACTACACCTAAACTAGGTTTTTTAATCAAGGTTCCTATGCTACCAAGTCTGTTGCAGAATGAAGCCTGCCCGCTGAGGCTCATCGTCACTTTCGGACGTCAGATTCTCAGTCCATGCAACGAAATGACGCAAGCTGCGGTGGAGGGACAAACTCCTGCACTGCTGCATGACCCTATATACCCATACCATAGGATTCTTGGCAGTCTGGCAGGAGTTTGTCCTTCACCAGTACAAAACTTACTAGTGCTTTGTAGGTAATAAGTCATATTCCAATGTATATCACAATATACTATAGTAGTTTCCATGTTCTTCTCCATTGTTCCCTGTATATAGAGCCTATATAAACCCATTTTCACAAAATGTAATCCCCATGTAAACCCTACACAGCCCCTATAAAAATCCCTATATAATCCCTATATAAACCCTATATCTGATCCCGATTTCGACCTTACATATAATCACCACATAAATCCTATAGATAATCCCTATATAAACCCTGTTTTGACTGTACAGAATCCCAATATAAAACCCTAAATTCCTAAACCTATTGCTTGCACTGTCGTAGAAGTGGATGTGATCTCAGAGGTCGAGCTTGCTTTTGTGGAAGTCTCAGGGGTTGACAAGAGGGCCGAATCTTGCGTGTGTGGCATTCGTGTTTGCGACCTCCACCTTGCCATCCTGTACCTCCTGGTGTGGGTGACCGAGTAAGCGTATGGCCGAAGTTTGTGAATCACGAGCTGTACTGAACGGGGCTTACTGTAGCTAGTCTTTGCGTAGTCCGACTGGGCAATCAAGACCCCCAAGCTATATGCTAGACCTAAAAGGCCGTTGGGGCTGTAAAACAAAAACTCCTAAACCCTAAATCCTAAATCCTATACCCTCAAGCTGTGTGGCTTTCTCAAAGAGGATGCCATCATGTTCTGGAGCTCGTCCAGGAGGCAGCCGGGGGCTCGGAGTTAGGGTTTGGGGTTTGGGGTTCAGGGTTTAGGATTTAAGGTTTCGCCCGCAGCCCGGACGTTACGCCGCAGGAGAGCACATGTGAAATACCCTGCACTGGCCATATGATGCTGCCGTTTAGGCCGCAAGTGCTGCGCGCCCTCCCCTCCATACGGTTACCAGAGCATCCATGCCAAAATCAGAGCATCCATTCCAAAATCATAATTTCGTTCGGGTTCCAAGAGCATACGGTTGACAAAGCATCCATGCCAAAATCCTAATTTCGTTCGGTTCCAAGAGCATACGGCTACCAGAGCATCCAGGAAAAGCTGTTCTTGCCGCCTTTTTTCCTGAGAGGTGATGCACTGGGATGATTTTTTTGGTAAAAAAATCATCCTAACTTAAGAGCCCCTGTAGTCCGTCCCAACCCCGATTTGTGCTGTATTTACAGGGTTTTTGTGCCTTTGTACAATTTTGGTCGTGTGGAAGCGCGGCGAGACGCGCGGGCTGAGCGGGGTTTAGGATTTAGGATTTAGTGTTTAGGATTTAGGGTTTAGTGTTTCGGGCAGAGTCATGTATAAGCTTCGAGAATTACAGATACCATCCCATCATGACCTCTACAGAAGTATAGCTTCAGATACCCCAAAGAAATGTAGATGTAGGGAGTCAGGGAATATGAATGCTAGAATGGAGAATCAAATGGAAAACAAAAAAGAAACTGATATGGAAACAGTGTATAGGTTCCCTTTAGACTTCTACATAACTATGGCCTCATAAATCCCAAATCCCTGTTCTGGTCATGTAAAAACCTAGAGCTGCTTCATCGCCCAGGCAGAGATACCGACCTTCCGGGTCAAGGAAAGGATAATGAAGGACGCCCACGTGTGCTGGGGTCCCTTTGCCATACCAGTTTGTTTCAGAATCCGCTTGTTGCCAGGATGATAGATTGCCGGCACGTACCAACGAAGCGAAAACGATTGGTAAGAGCTCCTGACTTGATTGGCACTTGGTTTTTCGATCGGCTTGGATGTCTCTGCGCCCTACACTAGCGAACATGTTGAAGAGTCTGTTCGCGCCAGGTTGGATTTGTCAGCACGGCTTGCATCCGCAGATGCATGAAAGATGCATGCGATGGATGCGCCGTTCTGAGATGTAAGCCAGTTCCGTCAAGTCGCTGACATTGTGCAGGTCTCCTGGACTTTTTCTGGAAGGAAGATCATCGTTTCAAATATGAGGTTTTTTTGGTTCCTTCTGGGATGCCGACAAGCTTGCATTGTAGTTCAATTCCGCGAGTGGCAACAGAGACAGAACCGTACATTGGCAAACTGTACAGATGCATCTTTGCTGCCACCTCTGGTTTAGTTATGACAAAAGAGAATCAGTAGTGTCAAAGAGCTGGTGGTCGTGGCCTTTGTACAGTTGCTCTTGACCTGAAGCTTTATTGGCGGAAGCATGCAAACAAGTCAGCTGACACAATCTTTCTGTTTGGTCATGACGGTTATGCTTCCAGAGTACACTATTTCCATGTTTTCCTGCTTGCTGAAGTACACGGAGTATTGCCTGCAGAAAAAAGCGCATGCCAGCATCGGGATGGCTTGAGGCAAGTCATTGCACAGAGCCCACTTGCTCAGCGTTGGCAGCTCTTTGGACAGTTTGAACACTCTTGCAGCAAAGCGCAGGAAGAGCACCACGTTTCGAGGACATGTCCAATCCGGAAGCAACCGTAGAAATGGTAATAGTCATAACACTGGTAAGAATAGTACAGGAACAACAGGAATAATATTCTACTAGTAACAGTTTCAGTAGTAAAGAAAGTTCACTCCTGTTGTGCCATCTGGAAAAATATGGCCATGGTAAAACGCAAAGCTTACATCAGGCCAGTGGCTCCCGGCTTCCCTCAGCATGTGAGCTACGGTCCAATCTCTTTAAAAGGGAGTTATAATGGGGCTTAAATAGGGGACTACCAAAAGGGGATATTAAGGGGGCTACTAGGAGTTTAAACAGTAGCTCATGTGGATTCGTTGTATACATATATAGAGAGAGAGAGGGGGGGTTACATAGGGCTTGTATAAGGTTTAATCTAGGGATTGAGGTTTAGGGTTTCCCTAAATTAGGGAGTCCACATCATAAGGATTGTAGCATTTTTGGGGTCCATATTAGGGTCCCCTTACTTAGGGAAACTACTAGCTCTTGGCGCGTTGCGGGCAGGCGATGTGCCGGCGTGGCGATCGCTCTGGCCCAGCAGCCCAGCAGCTCAAGGGTTTCGCGGTACAGCATACAGCCCCCCATAAGCTATCTACTTAAGGGGGACTATGACTATACATAACGGCACATAAATGAATTGATGTGTAGATAGACATATACACATATCTCCTCAAAATATGATGATAAGAAAGGCTGATATAGAGGCTGACGAAGCACAGTGGGATCCCTGCTTCGAGGCGGTGCTCCTGGCTTTGAGCAACACCGCTTTTCTACAAGCTCCCAGAGCCTCCCAAGGCAGCCAAGTTCCGTGACGGATGGGTACAGAGTTTAGGGTTCAGGTTTTGGGGAGCCTTCCGAAATTACTCTATAAATGCCTACAAATTGGATCCCACAATCCCTGAGTTGTCCCCAGCCATATCCCTGAGTCCCTGAGTGCCCGTATTTGCGAAACCTTCAAATATCAGGCCCCATCATATACCCCCGAAAATACGATACCACATATTATCAGGACAATCAACAAGGGCTGTAAGAGTTGTAACCTTACTGGTCGTCAATAGTTTGCAGTTTCTTTGCGATTCTGTCATTCCCTACCCCACTTATAAACCCACCCAAACCCTAAGACTAAATCTCAGCACGTCAATCCAAAACCTTACAAATTCTTATAAGTATCCCTACAACCCCCAGGCACTCCATTTTCCATTGTTTGTCCATGTCATCTTCCGTTATTGCGATAACATGACCTATAAATCCTTTGAGCAGTTCCTTGCTAATCCCCCACCCTACACCCTAAACCATTGTTAGCGGTTCCTTTCTAATCCTCCACCCTACACCCTAAACCATTGTTAGCAGTTCCTTTCTAATCCTCCACCCTACACGCTAAACCCTTGCCAGCTTCAAAGTTGTGATGTTGCACGCAACTCAGACGGAGGACTGGAGAGCGACTTCAGCCGACGGAGGCAGCGTTCGCTAAATCGAACAATTGGGGATTCAGGGGTGTGTTGAAAGGGGTTACATGTTATAGGGGGATGGACAGGGATTAGTGACGTTGGGTTTCCGAAACAATTCGTGGTCTTTTTAACAAATATCCACAGAAAAGAGATAGTATATCGCTTGTACAGAGGGGAATCATCTTGCTTGGAATCTTCCACTTTGCTCCGCCACCTACAACACGCGGCACGCTTCTGCAAGCTTCTCACTAAGCCCTCGACTGCAAATAGGATGGCATTTCCTTTCCATTCCACCTAAGCCCTCAGCCCTAAATGGGATGGTAGTTTCCATGTTCTTTACCACTACCCTGTATAACCTCATATATACCCTGTCATAAATTCGTCGTTTCATTTTCCTTTCCATTCCCCTATATGACCCCAATATGGTCGTTCCCTCAGAATGTCAGAGTTTCCATCAAAAGGAGCATCCCAATACAGACCCCTAGATATTATAAACCGGAGTGTAGGGAGCACCAGAAAGTAAACCCTCATTTAATCCCTTAAGCCCCTTTAAAGGTACCCTAATTTGGGAAGCTCCAATATCCCTTAACCCTGAACCCTAAAAAGTAGATACCATTTTCTTTTCCATTATCCCAACCCTAAACCCTAAACCTAAACCCAAGGTTACCCCTAATTTTGGGAACCCTAAACCCTAAACCCTAAATAGTAGCTTCCATTTTCTTTTCCATTATCCCAACCGTAAACCCTAAACCTAAACCCCATATTTGGGCAGGCTTTGGGAGCTCAGCGCTGCAGCGCTACTTCTCCCTTCACAGGCTCCTGAATACCCCATGGTAGGCGGTTTTGGGTTAGGGGTTAGGGCGTTTAGGGTTGACGGGTTTAGGGTTTACAGGGTTTAGGGTTTAGGGCGTAGCGGGTTTGGGCGTTTAGGCTTGAGGGGTTTAGGGTTTACAGGGTTTAGGGTTTAGGGCGTAGGGGTTTGGGCATTCAGGCTTGAGGAGGGGAAAAGAGTTTACAGGGTTTAGGGCTTAGGGCTTTGGGCCCCCAACATAGTACGGCCCCTTTTATTCCTGATAATTAGTGTCCCCAAAAGGAGACCAGGATTTTGACCACCTGCTTCATGAAAGGAGTTGCAAGTAGCAGAATATCTCAATAGAACTGTAGAGTGCTGAACAATGGTCATCATTGCAGGCAGGGCCAGCCTATTTGTCATAGTACTGGCCTGCAAGCAGAATTCCGATAGATTTCTGCCAGCTACCTGCAACCACTCTCACTCACTGGGTGTGTTCTTGGTCCAACAGCAGTTTGTTGCTTTTTGAGCTGAGGGCGTCAATGCCGTTCCTATCGCCTTTGATTACCGAGCCCTGGACGAGATTGAACCTCCTTCAAGGCCCATATCGGGATTGCATGGTGGTCAGATTCCCTTTCAACTCCACGAAAGACTATGGTCGGAATCCCTAAACGCAAGTGCAGACTTTGTGAGCACTCAAATGACGGCAGCAAGTGGATCCATGCGACGGTTGAAGGCATTTGATTGAGCTCACTTTTCAACAGGAAGCCTGTCGGAGACGTGACTTCCGAAAAAGCACAGAAGGCGCAGACTCTTTCCTGCTTGCCCTGAGTAGCGTCGCCGGCTAGAACTTTCTCAGCCACATTGTTGAGGCGATAGGCATCATCAAGGAGTCCCGCGAGAACATAAAAACCTTGGTGACGCCAATCCTGCAAGGTTTGTGGAGCCTTGATGCTTCCATAATTTTGCATACTGGCAGCCTTTCTTCATTACGGGGACTCCTGCCTTTCAAGGGTGCCATGACCTCTAGGTCTGCATACAAATGCCTGGATGGCAGGGAATTCAAATCGAATCCGGAGATTGACTTCACACCGTACTTTCAGCCACCGCCCCTTGGCTGCCAGCAGTCTGCGAGACTGGAACAGCAAGCATTGGGATAATATTGGGGTTATGTTGGGGTAACATTAGGGTTCTATTGGGGAAATACTGGGATAATGGAAAGTAGAATGGAAAGTACTATACACCACAGACACACGACTGGCCGGCTCCAAAGTCGAAGAGTGTCGGGTTGGCCATCAAGATGGAAAGGTACCAGCCGAAAATGATCATAGTCAGCAGTACCCGCACTACGGTGTGACTACTTGTTCTTGACAGGTCAGCCCAAGGTAAAGCAATAAGCTCTGTCCATCATCCGCAGGATTCTAGTTTTGCTTTCCTTTGAGCTTTCGAGGCCGGAGAAAATTCGCGCGGCTTTGGACGACATCTATGACCTGCTTGACAAGGACGGCAAAATCAACGATCCACTTTCTGCCATACCTTTAGCAATCTCGGTAGTTTCCCCAAAAAACGAAGAACCCCCAATATAGACCCCAGAATATCATAGCTCTTCTTATTGGGACCCCCAAAACACGTACCCCTAATTTTGGGAAACCCCTAATCCCTATAATCCCC